TATGCATATTACCTGCATGGGCATATTCACCGCACCTACCTTAGACTATGAAGGCGTAAGAGTGTACCTACTTAAATTAAATTTTTATTGCAGCCCATCACATTGAAAGAATTTTAAATGTGAGCCATGCTGCCGTGAGAAAAGCCTAAATAAGATATAAGATACATGGAATTATTACAGCTGTTTCTACTTCCACTGGTTTTTTATAACTTCCTGAATTGTGGACTTTCCCTTTCTTAAACCATATTGTTACGGAGATAGTTCTTTCCACACTCTCCTCTGTAGCTTCGTATTTATTAGTATTCCGTATAATTTTTCTACCCCGTTTACCAGGTAAATGGATCTGTATCCCTTTACTTCCTCGTCTTCTTTTCCACCTTTGCGTATTAGCACCAGACTTACTTTTTTTAGGATATTGGATATTGTCAGTGAGTAATCTGTTCATTATTTTTAGCAGTGCTTCTGGTGCGACATGGGGCCCTAGCTACCTTGACTTTTAATTCGTCCCTGCTGAAATACTTTGATACTGTTTCGCTTCTTCCTCCCTCTACCTGAATATTCTATTTTCCTACCGAAAATAGCTTTACGCACCATTCCATTTTTTTGTCTATATCCAGGTTATATGACGCTTGAAACCCAATTTTTTTTTATCACAAACTTGTACCCTTTTCTCCATTTAGATTCTCGTATTTTTCCCCAGTGCTTCCTTTCCTGTTTTTATTGTTTTCTGGAGATCATTTTTTTTGTTTTCTGTTAGTGTTTCACTAATTTCCCTTGCTCTGGGGTGGTCCAAGCCTAATCTTTTTTGACCGACTTCAAAAAAGGAGGAGGTTCTCAATTCATCGTAAATTTTTTTTATGTATGTTCAGCGATAATTCTTTAACACGGTGTCCGATTTCAAAGATTATTTTTTGTTAGAAAAGTGTTACTTCAGGAGTGGTCCCATAATTATTTGGTCAAAATTGAATACTTGGGTCCATTAGAAAATCCTCACTCTTAATTGTTAATGTATGTTTAGCGATAATTCTTTATCACTGTGTCCGATTTCTATGATTCTTTTTTTGTTAACAATGGGGTACCTCAGGGGTGGTCCCATAAAAATTTGGTGTTTTTTTTTTATTATTTTTCGATTTATGGCCTAGGTGTATATACCTAATATGCCAGTCTCAAGTTTGTGCTTTAAATTCTCATTCATATGTGTTCTGTGTAGGCTTTGTTACTGTTTCCCAGCGCCACTTTAGGAACAGCACTGTTAATTAGAACCCAACAGTGAATGGTCGAGTGGGGAATCCTACCAAGTCATCAGAATTAATTTTAAATAATTTAAATTTGGTTAAGATGTGATGACGGCATATGCAAGATTTTGAAGTCGATTTTTTAAAATTATTTTTAATACTTGTTTAGTTTTATTCTATCCTCCTTGTTTTTTCCATATTGGCCTATTTGTTGCAATCTCCGCGCTCCATCAGTATAGAAGTCCTTCTCCGTCTATTCTTAGCGTTCTTAAGTCTTTGGCATTTCTTATACAATTATGTCTGTTTCGTAGTTTTAGTTTTTCTGCGGCTTTTTGGCGAATGTTTCTACAGTGAAACATTTTTTTCTCTTTGTCCCCTATTAGTGACCAATCCAGATTCAATTCAAATCATGTTGGTGGACGAGTACAATTTGTAGACGCTATTTAAATAGTACTGGTTAAGAAATTGTTCTCTTTGTAGGAGGATCCATTATGATCTGGTGTGGATTTTTTTCAAATTGGCGTACCTAGCTTATGATTATTTGGGTGAAGGATTACTATTAGGGTACCTCAGAGTATCGATAAAGATTTAGAGCTTCATTTACTACCATTTAGTGAAAATATGGGAGCGGGATTCATTCTGCAGCATAATAATGCTTTCCCAACACTGCCGGAATTTCTTTGAACAGCCACGTTATAGGTTATGAATTGTTCAGTCAAAAGTATATATTTCAACTCGATAGAACATGTTTAGGACACTTGTGAACAACTATTGCTGCATCGTCAGAAAATCTGTGACCTTGAACACTAGGAAGAAATTATTTTAGAAGAATGGAAACAGCTGGCAGACAGGTTATAAGAATTTAAGGTGAATGCTGCGTTGCTTTGCTAAAGTACTACGAGCTAAATGAGGTCAGAGTATTATTAGGAGAATAGTATAGTAAAATAAACGTCAACACTGTACCTACATGCTTATATACAGGGTGATTCACATAAGAACCGACATAGAGCAGGGGCATGTAGGGGGTCCCAAAATATGGCAATTTAACGCAACTTACCTCTATACCAAGTTGCTTCCCTAAGGAGTTATAGGCTTTGAAAGTGAAGTTATAAATTTTGAAAAAAAAACAATATCTCCGTTATTCTTGAACTTAAAGCAACCAAATTTGGTACACTTTGTGGATGTATTTAGGGCGTTACTTGACAGTAACTAGAGTTTAATTGAAATTTGTAAAGGGGGTATACTGGGTGGCGCACCATTAATATTCAACAGAATTTTGTTAACCCTTGATGGATTTTAAAAATCTTTGCTTTGTTTTGTGGGCAATTCAATTCTTAAACTTTTCTTACTCTAGTAATTTTTCGAAAAAACTCATCATTTTCATCAAAAACTCGAATAACTTAAAACGCACGCTCTAGGTGTGTTATTTAAAATCAGCGAAAATTCAAAAGTTGGCTATGAAAATAAACGTCAAACAAGAAAGTAGGTCATTTAATGTGATCAGTAGGAATTGGCTGGCAAATTATTATTTAGATACGTAACAAAATAACTTAAAGTAAGTACAGATACTGAAATGTGAAAAACTGGGATTAACAACTAACCAAAATAAACACAAAAAACTTAAACAACAACCAGAACAAACAATTGTTTATCGATAAATTAAAGAAATTGTTCAAAATGATCGCCGTTTTCTCTTACGCATAAATTTATTCTTCTTCGAAAATTAAAATCCACCCTATCTAATAACTGTTGATTATTCCTAATAGATGTGCATTTATGAATAATGCGATTCCATAATTCTTCTTGAGACGCAACGGGCGAAGAATACACAAATTCTTTCAACGTTCCCCACAGAAAGAAGTCACATTTGTTCAGGTCAGGTGATCTTGGGGGCCAACGTTGTGGGCAATTATTTCCTCTTCCTATCCATCTATTGGGATACTGGTGGTTTAAAAAATTTCTTACGTTCATACTAAAATGAGACGGTGCTCCATCGTGCATAAACCAATGTTGCAACCTTAGTTGTAAAGGTACCTCGTCAAGTAGATACGGAAGGGTGTTTTGTAGAAATTCTAAATAATTTTCACCATTCAGCCGATTCGGTAAAACAACAGGACCAATTAAATATCGATCAATAATTCCCATCCAAACATTAATTTTGAAATCACGTTGGAAATGCCGAGGAGTTATTGCATGTGGGTTTACGTCAGAATACTCATGATAGTTATGGAGATTTGTGATACCTCTGCGAGTGAAAGTCGCCTCATCCGTAAAAAGAATTTTCTTTTGGAAGTTATTATCTTGGCGTAGAATAAACTGACAAAAATTGACACGTTGAACCAAATCTCCGGGTAAAAGTTCTTGGACTTTTTGTACATGATAAGGGTGTAGTAGATTGCGACGGATAACTCGATGCACAGAACTCTGCGATATACCAATTTGTCGAGATGAATTCCTAGTACTAATATGTGGATCATCTTGAATAGCATTTAAAATGGCTACCTCAACTTGTGGCCAAATTTGGTTGCTTTAAGTTCAAGAATAACGGAGATATTGTTTTTTTTCAAAATTTATAACTTCACTTTCAAAGCCTATAACTCCTTAGGGAAGCAACTTGGTATAGAGGTAAGTTGCGTTAAATTGCCATATTTTGGGACCCCCTATATGCCCCTGCTCTATGTCGGTTCTTATGTGAATCACCCTGTATATATATATATTTTTTTTTTCATTTACAGCACACTTTACAAAACTGTAGTACATTTTTGCAGCTAAGTATATTAAATAAAAACGAAACAATTATTCACATTTTTAAAAACTGACCCCTTTTTCATTTTAATCAGTGTATTTCAAAACCAGTAAACAATTACTTAAAACTATATTAACTATAAATAATAAGAGTCACCTCTGCGTACCTTTAAGGTATAAGCCTTCGATCATCTTCTTTTCTATTTGTACTTATTGGTCTCCATCTTCTCTTTACCAAACTATGAAGATCATCCAACTGAATTTAATCACTTGACTCTTATTCGTCTTATTTTTTTCTCTCATATACCTAATACTTTCTCTCTTTTTAAGACACCTTGGTTCGTAATAAGCCTAAATAAATTCTTGCATTCTGTAATATTTATATTATTTCTATCATTTTTTTTTCTATTCTCTTCCTGTCTTTGGTGTAAAGTTGCTATTTTATTTTGTATTATAAGTATCTATTGATTTTTTAAAACTGAGTCATAACCTATATTTTGTCGAGGTATTTAGTTTCTAGCTCTGATCTATGCATTTATATATAATATCATTGCCTTCTGCATGGGTGGGTTTTGGGTTATTTTTATTTTATATTGTACCTGCTGAATTAACATTTTTTCTTACTATATAAATATTAGTTATATCAATATATCAGTTTATGAAGCGAAGTTACTAAATTAATGATCACAATCCCCTTTATTTTATGTTGTAACTTTATCGTACGTCAGTGATCATTGGTCTAATGTAATAATTAATATGGTGCTGGAGAACAGTTTGATACGCTTGAGAGGTGTTGAAATATTGGTAGAAGAATCAGATATGTACTTATTTTATTGCTTTCATGTAACAATTTATTTCAAATAATGCTGTATTACCAACATTTTGTTGTAGGTATTGGACATTTTTTTAAAGCTTCTAAGGAGTACTTTAACCAAAAATAAGGATACTTCACATTCTCTAGAAGAATACGCCTATGTAATGGTAAAATCGTAAATGAAATCTATTAAATTTAAATTTGAAAAAAATAAACTATTAATAGGAAAGCAATGTATTTAATTATCATACAATTTTAAAAAAGAACCCTTCACTTGTTACAATTAATATTAAAATATACAGTTACGTTTTTTTTTATGGGCCATAACAACGGAAATTCCTCAATACTACAATAATTACTAAAGTGAATAAATTTAAAACCAAAAATCCATAATAATACAGATATTTTTAATAAAGAATATGAAAAATGTCACCTTTGCAAGGCATATGTAATTTGTCAATAAAAAAATTGTACAATTCTCATAAATCTATTTGCAGCAAAAAAAATTCAACTGCAGAATAATTGAACACTCTAAAAAATAAGAACTACGTTTAGTCTGTCATATTTTGTAGACTTATCAAAATTTTTAAATTAACATCTTTACAAATTAAACTTCTCTAATAATAAAACTCCAAAAACAAGAACTTAATACAAACTTTCCGAATAGCTTATTATTATCTGTGAATTAAAAAAATTATTTAATACCTTCATTAGTATAATAATAATTTATGGTAAAAAAAGGTTTTAGTCTATTCGACAGATTCTTGGAAAGTGACATAAAATAAGTCAAAAAATAGTTGATATAAACTTTTTTATACAAACTATTTTATAAGCGAGGTTTCTTTAGCATATTCAGGATAAAAAACTTGAGATTTATAATAATTATCAACCTCTCTAGCCATCAACGTAACAACACACAGTACATTTTCAGCTAGATAGGGAACCCTTCTAAAAACCTGCCCTATTTTCTTATCGTTCATGTGAATGATGTAAGTAAACTTTAAATAAGTTGAAAATAATCTTAAGAAGTCTACTACGGTGCCACAAGTAAGTCCACATTGTTGAAAAATTGTTCCCACATGAAAATCAATTTGGCTTCCCAATTTTCCTATTTTGGCCACATAAGATAGAGCGCAGTTGTCGTACGGTTCCAGTTTTGTTCCAAAGGGATACACAATTTTTTCACCTTCTTCTTGGAGCGAAATGAAGAGCTTAATGTTTTTTTGGTAGTCAGCGATGCCCTTGATCAATGCTAGTTTTTCATAGTTTTGTATTACTAGATTTTCTTTCCACTTATGGTTGACTTCTATGTAATTTTCTATTCCTGTAAATAAAAGTTCGAGTTTGATTTTAAGTTATGGGGTAATGGATTTATTTATCGTTATTCACCCCTCAACTACTTACAGAAGTTTGCCAGATTAAAATTTTTGACATAGTTACAATAAAGGTATAGGATATTACCTCAGATGGTATACCTCAGTGATATGAGGATAAGTCATTTATAACTATTTTGACAGTGTCTGTATTACCCCAGTATATAATAATCCCATCCTTCTTTAATAATGATAGATTGGGTAAAGAGCCAAGGAAGACTTAAGCTGGGATGGCTCAGCTGCCCGATAAGGGTCCAAATAGAATTACCAAGATGTTACATGTTTCAACAATTTGGACATATAAGGGAGGAGTGAAAAAGAAAAGACTGCATTGGAGACTGCCTAAGGTGTGACCAAAGATTGCCAAAAAGACGCTTCAGAATACTACCATAATAATAAAAAAAAGGACACAGAAACAACACAACGAAGTGCCGGGAATATAAAAGGCTACTGGATGTGGAGAGAACAAAGAGAAGAGGGCCCACTTCCCCAAAATAAAAATCCTACAACTGGATGCATCTCATGATGTGACAGATTCAAAATGTAATCATGATAATACCGAACAAAAGTAAAGCCTCGAAAAAAGATTGAATAATCGACGACAGAAAGGATGTGTCAAATAAAATCTGGAATAGACAGATGAGAGTAAAACATGTTAAAATAGCAAAGGATTTACTAAGGATAGATTTCGAAGAATACTCCATAGTGGGCTGCTATATTTCATATTTCACCAATTAGAAAATACAAAGATAGTGTAGACGAAATAATTGAAAATATCGAGCGCTCAACAGAAATAATAATACTAGGGGATATAAAAGCAAAGTCGATGATGTGGAGATCACCAATTTTAAACAAAAAGGTTCTATACTGGAAGAAATGAATAGATTCCAAAGATCGTGTAGTACATAACGCTGGAAAAATACCGACTTTGGTTAGAGGCGAAAGCTGTTCTTATATTCACGTTACACTGTCAATCAAGATTGCAAGGAAGATCAAAAACTGACGGATTTTTAAAGAAGAATTCTACAGCCAACATGTTTATTTATTTCGAAATGAAAATAGGCAAGAATGGGCAACCTAGTCAAGAATGGACGGGAAAAAAAATTAACTAAAGTAAAATTAGAAGAAGAATTAGATAAACCTAGGATATAGAAGAACAATATAAAACCTAAAGGACTTTTAAGACTAATGCCTGATAGGAACTACCAGAAATAGAAGAAACCAACCATATTGGAGGAACGAAGACATCGAAGTAGCAAAGAGGCGGTGCAACGACGCAAGGAGAATTATAGTGATGAGAAATCAGAGAACTAGATAAAATCTTTAAAAACATAAAGAAAGAATACAAGAGAGAAATAAATGAATCCAAAAAAAGAACAAGGAAAAACCCTTTGCCACGAACAAAAAACAATATTTGGTGAAACAGGTACCAAATTTCAATGAAAATACCAAAAACTGCTACATTACCATTCCAAATAACAACATCCAGCACAGTTCAAATCACCAGGGAATCATTCGAAAATACAAAGGAAACAATCGGAAGAGGCTTCATTACAGATGAAAAAGGGTCAAAGATATTTACAAAGGAATTAGACGAAGCAGCGGACAGGATAAGAGAACAAAAAACCACAGACGGACTACTGAGAGAGTAGGGAGTTTTAATAGAGTTCCATAAGGCATTGCTAACACTGTAGAAGACAAAAATTCAGACCAATCTCTTTCATAAACGTAATGGGGAAGTTGTATGAGTAGGTTATTAAAAGCAGAATAGAAAAGAAACTGGCCTTAAAACAACGTTTATCAAACAAAGAGAATGGTTTCAGGAAAGGCAGATCTGCCTCAATGATAGTAGGAGAGGTTATCAATAGGATCAAATAAAACAAAAGCACATATACGGCGCTCGTTACGCTACATACAAAGAATGCAATCAACACTGCGTCATGGAAACTAATCATAAATAGATTCATTCCTCAAGAAATTTCGCAGTACCTATCTAATTGCGTTGATTCATAGCTATCTGCCAAAACAGTAGTAATTGATGGAAATGTGTTAGACATAATGCAAGGAGTGCCACACGGATCCATACTGGACCCTATAATATGGAATATACTGTTATTTATATATACTAAAACGAGGCCTTAGAAGAGTGATTAACTTTTGTATTAAGGAAAATAAACTAAAACTGGCAGTTAATAAAACCAAAGCAGTGGTAATAATGGGAAGGATAGACAAATCGAGTGTGGTATTTAACATAAGAGGATCTAGAATAGAATCCAAAAACTGTCTGAAATATCTAGGCATATAGATTGATGAGGTGGAACCTTTGGAAACCAGATTACCAGGTCTGTGGAGAAAATGTCAACGCTAGTTTGCGCGCTAATTAGAATCCTGCCCAATCTAAACGGATAGCAATATTGCTCAATCTATACTACTGTATGATGCGGACAAAGGTGATTGAAGTACAACATATAGACATGTTGGTCAGAGCACACAAAAAATGGTACTCAGGACAATAATGGAATACAGAACTATTTCCACGGAGGTGACCTATGTAATAGAGGAATTACTTCCGTGAATGTGTTAACGGAAGAGAGGCAACATGTAATAGAACATAATACCAGCGAAGAAGAAAGAAGACAAGCAAAAGAGGATACGAAGAGAAAATGGCAGAAAAGGTGGACTGAAAACACCACAAAAGGAGAGTGGACTAAAATATACTAGTTGCCAAGAACCGCTAGACTAAGTTATTAAGGGATTATGTTTTTTTTAATATTGTTTTTTAATTTTATTTTTTATTATTTTTATTTGCCACCAATGAATAGATATTCCTTCGGGACTTCAGAACCTTTCGGCTGGTGATAGTAGTTAAAGACCTGTCAGTTGTTAAAAATGTTGTTACATTTGATGACAAAACTGGTTCTTAGAATAACTGGTTGTTATATTTGGTAAGAAGCAGTGGTTCTTTACTTAAGTTGGTTGTTACAACATTACAATAGGCATAGTTTATCGAATAATGAAAGTAGAAACACCAAATGTACATAAAAATTTTAAAATATTCTGTGTATTGGCATAAAAAATGGATTATCTTTTAAAAAACAGGATAAAAGAAAGAAATAATGACGGTCTATTTAAACCTGTAAACCTGAAAGAGACGTGGTGAGGACAATAGTAAGTTTATGGAGAACAATAAAACAGAATGTAGATTACGACACATTATTGTTTATGCTGAACATAATAATGTAATAATGGATCCGTTGAAAATGCGTATCTTATTTTTACAGCAAAAAAGAAATCCGAAAACTACTAGGATATGAGAACAGAATATTTAAAATTGGTTTAAACACAACTAATTCCAACCTTAGAAGAACCTTCCTTTGATAGTAATGGATAACGCTAGTTATCACAATCGGTTAAAAGAGTCAATTCCTAATAAAAGTTGGACAGAACTTACAAATTGGCTTTAAGTAAAGCAACGATTTATTAGAACAGTGCGCGATGCAAAACTCAAAGTCTGCGCGCACGTCCGCTGAAATATAACAGATAATACCATGGAAATGGTTTCTGAGTTAACACAGCAGTCGACGTACACTGCTGTCTGGCTAGTGTTGCCAGGGTGTCAATGAAAAAATCCGCTACAAAAATTGAAAAATTCCGCTACGTTCCGCTACGCGCTACTGTCTCTTGCCATATAACATGTCATATGTCACATTTTGCTTGTTTTATGTTCAGAGAACCAAAGTGGGTTTGAGTTTATTGGTTTATTTTAACATTTTTGTGAATTGGTGGAACGACGAAAAATTAAAAAAAATAAGTCAAATCTTAACACGGAAGAAATATTACATGTTCTGTGATTTTAACCTAATTTCATCTTAACGATATCAAAAAAGGCACAGGATGTCGCTACCATAAAAGTTACCTATTTTTTATGTTATTTGACTGAACTCGTCTTTATAATAAACGGTACAAATAATGTTTATACAATTTCTACAAGATTTATTATTTTTTGTACTGTGGCATATTTCATTTCTACGTTTTAAGATATTTTGAGCTACCGCCGCTACCTTGGTAAAACTCCGCTAGGAATAGCGGAATTCTGCTACGTCTGACTTACTGTACTTACTCTTACAAACCATTTCCATAGTATTAACAGAAAATTGTGAGTCTTACGTCGAGCACTGTTTTGACAAACTGTAATTTTAAACACAAAGCCACTGTTTAACAATACGCCATATTATCGTGACATAATAATGGTTCCACTGACAATTAAATTCCAACCAAACTTTTAACAAAAACAGAATTAAATTTGACATATACGTTGGTACTATTTTTATTTATTTTCTTGATATTGTTTGCATGTCAATAAAAATAGCTTAAAGATATTGTAATTAGTAACTAAACGATTATCTTGATGCATGATATTTATTTACTATAAGTATATATTTATAAAACTTCAAATAACTATATAAATTAGGCGAACAAAACGCACTTAAAAAGTCTACTGTCACTGTAATTATTGTTAGTGGAATCATAATTATATCATCACTAATTTAGCCTATTGAAGTAGGTAGTGAACAAATCCAAAAAAGTTTATCATTTTGACCAATATATTCAAAGTTATGGCTACTTTATTCTTTGATTGCCTCCTTAGCACTGCCATTTTAATCCCATCGAAATTGTTTGGACCGAATCGAAATGAAATTTAAAGCAACAAGTGATAGACAAAAATGCGTAAAGGTGTACTGATCCATCAAGTCAATGCTTCCAGTCAAACCTCTTGGGTTGCAATGGACTTAATATAAGTAATAATTTTTCTTCGACTTTACCTATGTCATCTGCATTATAATGAGCTAATCTGAAAGGAAAACTTCTGGCCAAATTCATCATATTCTTTTCCCCGTACAGGGTTAGTTCATAATCATCGGGATTGGCTAAAGGCAATACGTAAACATCCATGACTAGTAATGTGGTACTACTACTGGCGTGCGCGCAAAGATAGTTTAAAATATACAAGGCACTCGCTACAGACATGACATCTTCTCCGTTCGAACCAGCTTCAATGAAAACGGCATTTTTGCGTGGAAGATCAACGTGTCTTGCTGCTAACATTAAGAAAATAGGTCTACCTGGAAAACAACAAGACATTTTCTATATCAGCACCTCAGAGGTAAGGTGTGTTAAGAAACTAAATCTACATTTTCCAGGAGAGGCATGTTAAGTTCACTTATTGTTTTAATAAATGTAAAGAAACCTTGAATTTACTAAATATTGGGGTCTTTGCTATTTATTTCGATTTTTTTACTTTGTCCTATAATTTTGACTTTGATATGACTTAAATTTAATAACCCCAAATTTACAATACTTGGTTTGTAATTTATTGGGTGTTCCGTTATCTTTTAGCAAAATGATGCAACTAGGGAGTTAAATCTGTTTTCCACTAGATAGAATTTAGTACAGTAAATCTACAAGTGAAGAAAACTCTTTTTTCTGATAAATGTGACTTAACACACCTTACCTTTGAGGTGCTGATATGTATTAATAGTGTCTGACCTAAGGCATATGATTATTAGACACATTCAAAAAATACTTAGTCACAGTAACCGTAAATTACTTGATATTCATTTTTTAGCTACTAGTTTTTACCTCGCTGAGTCATCATTATAGGTATAGAAAGAAATTGACATACAAATAGGGGAAACTACAAACAAACCAATAATGCACATATTGTTAACAAAATCATTGAATAAAATTAAAATAATACAAACTTGTTAAGTCAAAAGCGGCCATTTGAAAAAGTGGAACCATTAGAGGGTTAAAGAAGTAAATAGCAGGGAGAGAGGTTGGTAAATGGAATGGGGAGGACTCTGGTTAAATATTATTATTGCTGGTGGTGTCCTAAGGAGTATATCCATGTAACGGAGGCCATCAGCTCATAGACAAGACAATATGTTCAGGGCCGACTAGAGGGGGGGTAGCCGGGACCAATTCCCGGGGCCCGGGCTTAAATGCAGCGCTGCAAGGGGTCCCGACAACAGGTTTTTTTGTTCTGCATGAGAAATTCGACACAAGATGACAAGATGAGAGAGGGAAGTTCGGTTTGAGTGAGGACCGAGGTGAGGACCTAGGTGAGGAACTTAAATGGATTCAAACGTGTCCAAAGAGAGTTTTTAAATTGGCGGATCAAAATCACTTACCTGCTTTGGAACTTCCTATAATTTCCATTTCAAGATTATTAGGATATGCTTGCAGCAAGGAATTTAAATAAATCCTAACTTGCTCATAGTCCAAAAAACGTTTGAAATGTGGATTTCTCGGGCTCGTAGGTTTGGATGTTGATGTGCCCGGTTCGAGTTCAGGATTTTTCTTTTCTTTATTTTTACGAAAATATTTTTTAACTTTTTTCGGTTTTGTTTTTAATGGGGATGATACTTTTTTGTGTAGTTTCTTTTTTTGCATTACTCATGTATATGGAAAAAATAATAAGTACACTAGAATTTAGACGTGAAGGGTGTGACAGATTAAGAGATGACAGTAACTTCTTGCTAAAGACAATTACATGTAAAGTACGGTGTAAATGATTCCCATGGACGCGCAGTGGTAGCCAATCCGAATAGTGTTGCCAAAATCAGAATTAAAATTGTGGCTTTAGGCCATACTCGATGCATCCAACATACTCGCAAGAAGTGAAAGATTGTTATCTAGTATTTAACATTTAACATTTTGAAAACAAGTTATTTTCTCACTTCTGTCATAATATTTAAATTTATTTTTTCATTAACAATGTCTGTCCTAGTGTCCACTTCTTAATCAGCAGTTCCCAATTACATATGAAACAAATACTATAAAGAGGAATTATTATCCTCGTTAAAAACCAACGAAATTCCAATTTATTTTCTTTTTTCATCGTTTTTTTCTTTAAGGAAACGAATACATTAGTCGAACACTGATACATACACGGACGCATTTCTTGGTATTGGTACCATTTAATCCTGTTTTATTTTTACATTGTTAGGACCCGGTGTGCCCCAACGTACCGTGGTTTTTTCCTTCCTTTTTTCATCGGTTAACGAGTCCTCGTTATTTAATTAACGATAGGCCATCTCGATCCAGTGGCTTACTTCGAAAAAGATTAGATTTGGCCGATGGGCTTCGTCCTATACTTTCTGTCTGAATTATTTATTCCTGAACAGTAATTTTCTGTATAGGTAGTTAAAGAGATGGATTTATAATCATCACTTTATTTCAGTTAACGAGTTTTCGGATATATCGTTGTCCAGTTATTCTTTTGGTACTACCCTTCGAACTAACTATCAAGATTTGGATTTGAATTTGGTACTATCAACTGTAATTTGGTTTCTGTTTTGATGAGCTATCACCACGGTATCCCCCCGATAACCAAATTAATGTTTTCATTTAGGTTGGAGCCCACGGCATTAAGGGCAGGATGTAGCATGGGTGGAAGGAAGATTTAGCAGTAGTCACTACAAACTAAAGGAATTCTGGAGAAAAGGACAGAATTATAATATAAAAAATATTGTTGCATCAGGACAATGTGTCTTGTGACAAGACCATTATAGCGATCGCTAAAATAAAGATAGCTTTCTACTATTTTGATCTAGCTGAAGCTCATCATCAGGTAGAATATAACCAGCACATACGATTGTAATCAGTATATTATTAATTGTGTTTTAATAGTTGATTATTTTGATATGTTGCCGTTAGAACTTTCCAAATTCTAAATATTATTTAGCAATAATTTTGATTTATGCGATAATGAAGAATATAACTGAATCTTTTTTATATGTAAACAGTGAACACCTTTTCAATGGACTAGTAAGTAAGTTAGTTTTTTGTACGTAATTTTTGTAACTATTTTTTTGTGAGTAATTTATTTGTAAGTTTTTTTTTTAACTTTTATTTACCATGAAAATACAATATCTTATATACGTACATTAATAATTTGTTATACTGGTAAATAAAAAATAAACCTAACAAATGGAAAATCCTAAGCGTGGGTGAGAAAATTCATATTTATTTTCGTGTTACAAGCAGTGGCGTCTCGTGAGCAAGAAATTGGGGGTTCACAATGACAGAATATAGTCTCAGTACAGATTTAGGTAAATAACTTTTAGTTTTTATAATACACCTTTCCAAAACACTGAAAGCTTTTTACCTAAATCTGTACTGAGACCTATATTCTTTCATCGTGAACTCCCAATTTTTTGGCCACGAGCCGCCACTGGCTACAAGAATGATATTTTTGTAAAATACATATATAAATTTGAGAAAATAAATAACGAACGAACATCAGTAATTTATCAGACTATCTCAAAATATGCTTCAATTAAGGAATTGTTTTATTTTGGTGAATGTTAAACTATTCGGTTATTTTCTTTTTAAATGAGTTGTATAAGTTAATTCTTTTAATACCAGAGAAAAGTCAATTATATATTTTAGGGCCTAGATAAGTAAATCATTGCTGACCAATTGTTTTTTCCTACGACCACTTAGGAAAGTGACACATATCACACTATATAGTCCTATGGAAAGTGCCCTATATCACACGCGTATGAATAAGAATTTACTTTCCACCCGAGTGAGAATATATGTTACTTTCCGCAGCAGCTGTCATAAAATGTCAAACCCATAATTTCTATTTTGACCGATGTAATGTCCATATTAATACTAAAATCAATAAGATTGTTAAATTATTATTGAAATTGTTGTAAATTAGATCCTAGATATTTATCTTTAACAATTATTATTAAAATAATTTTATAATAACTAAGATTGTTTGCTTTTTATTCTGGTTAAACATATAACCGATTAGATCATTCAATTGACCAAAGGCCTGTTAGCTCAGTTGGTTAGAGCATCAAACTATCAAATTTGCCATTTGAGAGACCTGGCGAACGACCGCGTTCGAATCCTGGCGGGGCCAGAACTGTTTTTTGTTTTTTTTTGTTTTTTAATTTTTTTTTTGTTTAAAAAATATGAAAATTGATTAAATACGATTGTTGTTGATTATTTTTTTTAAATACATTTTAATTATTATAATAACCTGGTTTTACATTTTTTGTTGAAAATATTTTGTGGTCGTAGGAAAAATATTGTACATCACTTGTGTGAAAAGTGATTTTCCACACTCGTGTGATTGTCGCACTCGGCTTGTGCCTCGTGCGACAATATTTCCCACTCGTGTGAAAAATGTCACTTTCCACACTCGTAATGTAATATACTATTGTTATTCTTGTTATAGTAATTAAATAAGATTTTATGCATTTTTATATTCTGTATTTGTAGGGTGGGAAGGTAAGTTACTCCACAGCATTTAGGTCTCATACGGCCCAATGTGTATCCAGCAGGGGCATATAGAACCTGCCTCTTAACTTGTCAAAACCTGCTGAGGGGTGTCTACAAACAACCATTTCCTCAGCTCGTCAAAGTGCAGTATGATTAGTAATTCATGAAAAACCTGCAGATTTTCACGCGGGGTGGGGTGTCTAGGGATAGCAAGACTCTCATTTTAGGGTACTGCAGACATTCTTTCCAGGTGAATCTGTTTAGAACGAAAATGTCGATACTGTAAAAGGCTGGAACAACGAGAGAAGCCGGTTAAAAAAGTTAGTCTTCAGGCCACCATCATTATGCCAGAGGATGACGAAGACGGAATTACCCTTGAAATCCTGAGAAAGACTCAAAAGAAAGACAATGACTTAAAAGTTGTCCGAGAAGGGCTCAAAAATGGAGTTAGACTTAAATGGTAAGAAACAGCCAAATATAGTGGAATTATTATATGGTACTGGATTCAGTGAGATCCCTGTATCTTCACGATGGCCTACTACACTGGAAGTGGAAGAGCCCCGATAGCGTTCATATAGTTCCGCCTAGTGGTGATACTGAAATCACATGTCAGACGTGTGTTGGAAGAGCTTCATAATAGCCGTTTAGGAGGACATTTTGGTACTAAAAGGACACTGGCACGAGTTCGCTAAAGATTTTATTGGGTCAGTTGCCGAAGGGATGTAGAAGATTTGTGTAAGAAATGTGATTTATGCAATGACAGATAAGAAACTAAAACAGAAGCCGAGGTAAAACGGTACAGTACCTCTCCGGAGACCCTTTCGAACGAATCGCCATAGTTATCTTCGGACCACTTCTCTTAGCAAAGGGGAGAAACAAATACTGTACTATTTTTTAAACTGGCCTGAAATAATCAGGAAGCGACGACAGTAACAAAAGCATTCATGACGAACGTCTAGCGAGACATGGAGTCCCTCTAAAATTGCAGTGTGACCAAGGACGTAATTTTGAATCCGAATTATGGCAAGAATTGATGAAACTGTTAGGCATCAGAAAAACACAAAGAAACGGTAGAAAGACACCACAAAAACATATGCCAGTATGTTTCATTGTTCATCTTTGAAAACCAAAAAGATTGTGCTTTAATTCCTCTATTTCTGCTAGCCTACCGGAGTTCTGAACATAAATCGACAAGTTATACTCCATCTATGATGATTACTGAAAGGGAGATGAAGCTTCCCCATGATCTTTTGTTTGAAAGGCAGCCTCCTGGTAAAGAAGAGAGCCGTACACCTCCTACGTATATAAAAAACTTAAGGAGAAAGATTAGCACAAGAACGTTTAGAAGTCAGCAGTAATAAAGTAAAAACTAGAATCGACATGTATGCCACAGGGACACAGTTTGAGAGAAGCGACCTAGTATGGCTGTACAATCCCAAGCACTGAAAAGGACTTTATCAGAAACTGCAACGGAACTGGGAAGGCCCATATACCGTCCTCAAGAAAATCAACGACTTGATCTACCGCATTCAAATGTCAGCAGGAAGTAAACCCAAGGTAGTTCACATTGAAAATTTAGCACCATATCGTGGTCCAGATCCTCCCCGTTGGCTCCAACCAGATTGCAGTATTTAATTTATTCGGGATGAATAATCAGAGAAGAGGGAGCAATGTTAACCTGTCCCTGCAGTAGCCTGCAACTGTTATAGGAAACGTACCAATAAAAGAAGAAGTGCTATGTCAACCATCACCTTACAGTTTTCTGCGGTCGTCATAAGTAAAAGTGCGAATAAAAGAAGAAGAAGAGAGAACAGTCTAGAAATGTTTAGAAATGTCAGTTCGTGTCAAATAATATTAGGAAGGTTCGAAAAGATTTGAAAAGGTTCGAATAAATTTGAGAAAGTTTGAGAATGTTCGAGAAAGTTCGAGAAGATTCAAGAAAGTTCGAGAAAGTTTATGATCTTGACGTCACGTTTTCAGTTTGATAATAGACGTTGAAAGTTAATGTTCATAGTTATATATTGTAAAAGTTTTAAATTGCAAATACATTGAGTTTGCCAAAAACCAGCGTAACAATATTTTGATATATTTAATATTTAAAAATAGATAGAATTTAAATTTGTTCACAACTGATTAGAGTTGATTAGAATTGAGATGTCATCGGAAAAACTGATAACTTCGATATTGAATTTTTGTTTAAATAGGTCGTTTACATAAATATTAAATAACAATGGTTCGAG